TTTCTTCATGACCCTGTGCTCCAAGTTTAGATTTTTCAAATGTTTTTAATATTTTTATTTCATGCTACTTTGTCTTAACAAAACCCTGAACCAGATGAGTATGAATATAAACATAATGCCTCTTTATTTTAGGGCAAGAAATCCTGCCTAGAAGCCAGTGAGGCTACAATGGAGAGGATTTTTTAGTATATGTTAAATATAGGAAAAAAATAAATTCTCACTTTGCTAATCTACATGGTTTATAATTAAAAAAAAAACAAGAAACAAGCAGCTATTCCAACTTATTTCTTAGCCAAGATTTAGTAACAGTGGTAGAATTAAAAATTGCTTATACGCTACGCCAGCAGTTCTCAACCTGTGGGTCGCGACCCCTTTGGGGGTCGAACAACCCTTTCACAGGGGTCACCGGGTACTCGTATGTGGGCGTATCTGCATGTGGGCGTATCTGCATATGGGCCTGGAGACGGATAGAGGAGCGGTTTCTTGGTTCCTAAGACCATAGAAAATATGTGTTTTCCGATGGTCTTAGGCGACCCCTGTGAAAGGTTGAGAACCGCTGCTCTACACTAATACTCTGTGAAGCATTTTGTGGCAGACAAAAGAATAATGTAAGCTATATATGCTTAAAATTTGAAAGGTAGATTGGACAATTTTATTCTTGATATTTATCAACAACTTGTTTTAAACTCTCACTTCCTTATAAATTGCATTATTTCTTAACCCTTTTCTGCAATGATTACTATTTCCCTTCAGTGCTATTTTCTGTTACAGCATTATTTGTTTTCTACTAGCGCTTCCTAGCTTTTCCAGCTCTGTTTATGCTTTCATCTTACAGCAGAGTTTTTCTAGCTCCACTCATATGAAAAAAACTTTCAACTCCAAGACAGTCTACCCCTTCCATCTTATCTCAACCCCTTAAATGACCTATTTCACTTTTCTCCCTTATTTTCAGTTGGTGACACACTTTCTCCTTCATTTTCATTCTCAGCCACCAACCAACCTTTCTTCAGCCTTCCTCCACTTTGCCTCTAAGTGTCTCTATTCTCTCATCTGTTTACACTTGCTGTCCCTGATCTCAGTGGAACAGGTAGTTCTCTGGCTCTGGGAATATCCACTTAAGAATATCCACTCTGCCTGTGCTCTTAATCCACTTCTTTGGCATTCTTAGTTATATTCCCTTGCTCTTCTACTTCTCTATCTCTACCGCTTCCTTCCTTTCTGAAGAAAAAAATGCTGCCTACGCCACATTAAAAAAAGCTGACAAAACTTCTCTGACTTTTGTAGTAGGTATTTGTGGTTGCCTCTCCAGCACCCATTCCTCTTTTCCCAGAGGCCCAGGTTTCTGTTTGGGGTTCATTTGGTTTCAGAGAAGTGCCTCCACAGCCCTGGTTCAGAGGTGGAGCACTGGAACCAATCAAGGCCTTCCAACCTCTGGTTTGGATTGGGGGGTTGGGAGGGAGGTCATGTGACCTGAACCCATCCAATCAGAGTGACTCTCTGAACTCTGCTGGAGACAGAGCCATTCTCACCTGTTCTGGAAGGTGCTGTGTGCATATATTAGGCTGGAGTTGCTACAGTCATTTTTGCTGGTAGGAAGCCAGCCTGAGGATGAGTCAACACAGAGAGGGCAGAGAAATGAGCCAGGGCTCTGAACAAACTTTTCACAAAGTTTGTCTACCTGCAAGATCTTTTCATTTGGAAGCTAATGAATTCCTGTTGTTTACTCCATTTTGAGATGGATTCTTCTGTCCCTTACAGTAACGGACTCCCAACTGACTGTGGTGGTTTAAAACTATGTCCACAGAGTCTTTGATACTCCTTCCTTCATCAGGTGGACTTTAAGTCCCCTCCCCTTGAGTGTGAGCTGGATTTAGTGACCCGTTTCTAGAGAATTGAATGAAGCGTATGATTTTAAGACTAAGTCAAAAAAG